GACCTTGAACATCCAATGTAATACTATAAGAAAATGACTGACAGTAGTGGGAAACTATGGGGGGGAGGGTGAGGGGATTAATGGCAGTAAATAGCTGTCTGGGGACGGGGAAACACCTCTTATCAACAAGGGTGCCTGAACAAAACATACTTGTATACCTAACCCTTAACTGTACCCCAAAATATCATAATAAAATATATTGATTATAAAAAAATACTTAAAAAAAAATCCCTCTTTCTCTCTAATAATCTTTCCTTCTTTGTTACTTTTTTTTTGTCAAGGTCTCACTTTATCATGCAGGCTGGAGTGCAGTGGCATGATCATGGCTCACCACAGCCTCAACCTCCTAAGTTCAAGTGATCCTTCTACCTCAGTCTCCTGAGTAGCTGGGACTACAGATGCACACCCGCAATGCCTGGCTAATTTTATTTTATCTTTTATAGAGACGAGGTCTCCCTTTGTTGCCTAGGATGGTCTGAAACTCCTGGGCTCAAGCAATCCTCCCATCTCGACCTCCCCAAGTACTGGGATTATAGGAGTGAGCCACCACACCCGGCCCTCTAAAACTATTTCCTATCTTAAGGTATATTTTATTTAATATAGATATAACCATTCCAGCTCTTTAATAGTTATGATCTGTATGGAAAACTTTTGCCAATGTAAATAATAAATAATTTATAAATGATGCATAGTTCTCCATCACTGATGACATATGGAGACATTTTAAAGAACAAAGTTTGCAGGTGTGATTTCCAATGGTCAAGTTAATTGCCTCAAGGGTATTTCACAGGGAGGCACAGTTAGTACTTTGATTTGCCTTTTCTACATATCTTCCAGGGGTGGAAAATTATTTCTCATCATCATTTGGTGTTGGTAGACTCAACTGTGCAAAAACTGAAAAGGCCATTAATTCTAAAATCTTTCTCTGTTTCAAAAGCAAGAGAAAACAAGCTTACTACACAATCTGAGACTCCCTGTTCAAAGCACTCTACAAACTTTCTTGAAGTGAAAAATTTGATGAGAATAATCGCATTCAAACTCCCAGAGGTGTATTGGGGCTCAAGTTTGTTTTGGTCATAGAGGGTCGACTTGATGTAAGGAAGTGAAAAGGGAAGGGGACAGCATAGAGAATAAAACCCAAGTTAACAGAGCATCTTCCATGTGCCAGATACAATGTAACTTCTTTACACATGTCACCTTAATGCATCATCCTATCTCAAGATAGACGCCGTTCTCATGTGACTCAAGTTGGAAAGAAAAGATGTGGACAGCTCACTTAGCAGTGAGGTTGAGCCTAGGATAATAAGTGACTTTGAGTGTTACCTAAAGGCTGGACTCCTCTGATAAACAGGTCAAAGCTAAAGAGAGACCCTGGAGGAAACCTGGGTACCAGAAATTAGACTGAATAATCACGAGGGAGGCAGTGTGGGTGATATGGTGGCCGGAGGTGAAGAACAAAGCTGGAATGAGAGCCTGCCAAGTTGATGAATATACTAATTGTGGATTCTGGGTCATATTCCTCCCCAGGGGGAGGAAGGTGGTGCCATGTGGTTGACACCGGGGAGGTGAAGTTTTCAAAGGAAGGTTTCTCTCTCTCTCTCTCACACACCACACATACTTGCACACACATATACACCTCTTTATCCTCTATATTCTTTTAGGCAGAAGAGGGTATTTTTGATTCTGTGCTTGGTGCCCAGTGTACATCTCTGATTTTATTGTCATCCGTTTCCCCTATTTGACTGTAAATTCCTTGAAGCCAAGGAGTGCATCTTATTCACCATGGTAACCCGGCATCAAGCATAGTGTCTGGTACCCAAAAAGTATCAATAAAAGCTGAGTATAAGCAATAAGTTAATAAATAAGAGAAATGGGGGGGCAAAGCACAGAGAGGAGACATAAGGACTCGAATTTGAAGATTAAGTCAAAACCACAGAAACTTACATCTCAGTCTCAGACTGGCAAAAAAGAGCAAGGAAACTGTCTGCTAATTATAATATCTGATACAGTGGATGTGACCCCTGCTGCAGTGGGTCAGGGCAGGGGAAACACAGCAAGATCTTTCAAGAAACGAAGCTCAAGTAAGACTGACATGCCTTTCCACACTTGTGTGTGTATGTGCGCGTACGTGTGTGTGTGTGTGCATGTGAGGCTAACATTTACACTTGAGCAATAGTTCCTTTGTATTAAAAAAAATGTACTGGTTGTCTCTTAATAACAAGCATTCTGAGTTAGCTTCTATTTGCTTATTAGTTTTGTTTGACTAGTAGGTGGGGAAAGAAGGGATTTCAAATTTAGGTTTATATGTATCATTGTTATATGTATCATTGTTGACTTACTCTGTGTTCAAAGGAAAAATAACAAACCAAGTATTCAAATGAAATATGCACTCCAATGAAGATTTTATTTTGAAGGCAGCTGCTTTTATACACTCTGAGACTTCACTGCAGGGGGCTTGTCTCCATGCAGTCATGAATAAAATAGTGTGATAAAACACCAGCCCTTACTCTAAGAGTTCGAAAACCACAACAAATTACTTAACTCCTTCTGACTTTTCAGGGGTCCAAGAACAAGTTGTGCCCTTTGCTTCACCATGGTCCAATGAGTCATCATTCTGCCGAATTTTCTAGGAAATGGCTATTTGGAGAGTCCTATTAAATGACAATTTACAGCTCTGTGCAGACAAATCAAGAGATCGTCATGGAACACATGCATTCAGTGAGAAGAAAACTTAAAAAAAAATCCATTACTTTAAAAGCCTACATTTAGGAAACTCAAACTTTGCTCTTTTAAAAAAAATAATGGTTAAGTTTTCTATATTATAAAGATCAACTTTCTGATGAATATTTTTGTCTTTTTTTTTTCCTAAGGAGACAATAGTTCTTCATATCCAGGGCCACGATGCACATTTGAGGACGTGCTGAATTTATCCTTATAACTATGAGGCAGAAAAAGCACGCTCTAGAAGAAACAAGACATATTAGGTCATCAGACTTCATTCAGGTTCAGCTTAATATCTCTATCTTGATACTAACTGTATACATGGAATTCTTAGTTATTCCAAGCTAATTATAGCACATCAAGTCCTTTAAACAATTGCTATTTTCAGTCTAGTATTTATTCTACTTTCTATAATAAAATTTTGAATGAAGCAAGACTTTTTAATTCAGCTAAATGAAGCTATGAGCCCATAATGATGGTAGAGTGATGTTCCATGGGAAACTGACTCAACAATAAATTTAAAATATATTTTAGGAAAAAGGAATTTTAAGACCACAAGAAGGGAAAAATAGAAGAACACAAGACATTTACTGAATTCAATCACATGTGCAAATACCATTTACCAGATCAAGGCTCTTAAAAAGATTAGTGGCTGTGGCAGAAAGTGTTCCTGTTTAGAAGGGAGGCAACACAGGTTCTAGTGTCCTGAGCACAGACACAAACTCATAGTATAATGCCAGGCAAGTCACTTAATTTCCAAGAGCCTTGATCCTTTCACTGGCAAAATGGGAAGATTAATCAAATTGATTTCTCAGACTTAACTATCTTCACATCCAGTGAATCCTCAGCTGGCTGGTTGCTTTACTGTCATCCACTTTCCTTATCTGTCTTTCATCACCAATGAAACCACTTCCCATGTATATCTCATGATTGCTCCTACTGATTGCTCCTTCTGTCACTCTTGGTGACATAACATAGCCCAGAGATACATCAGGCAAGATTCAGCCAGGCCAGCTAGCACACTCACCCCAGGGAAATCAGAATGAGCCTGTTTCCACCAAAGCACAGCCATAAGCACAGCTAGACAGAACTCCAGTACTGTGCAAATCAGCATCATAGACATAGCTCCCTGAAAACCAGGAAATAAAAAATTAGTGGTGCAACCGAAGATTTCGTGCCTGGTTTGGAGATGATTGTGGAGATGAAGACTACCTCAACCATCAGAGATGAAAGTAAGAACACCATCAGAAAGAAAAAACTGCTTTTCCCACATCATAATTGGCTTAATTTGATCCTTTTGCTCATGTATTCACTTGAGAGGAGGGACAATGAGTAGTAACTAACCCACTACGTACACCTACTTCTTACCTCTTTGAGACACAGATAATGTTGATGACATTGTCCGCTCAGTAAGAAAGCAGAGTGGTGCAGTAACTCCAGGACTGAGCGTCAACAGTTCCCATTCTGGTTCCAACTTTAGTGCATAGTACCTGTGGGCCTGGACAAGTCTCTCTTCTTATCTAGCTACTTCTTCCCTTATTTATAAAACATGCATAATGATATCTTCTACTAAGAAATTTGTAAGAATCAATGAGATTTTTATTATAAAATTTGGTATTGAGACGCCTCTTTCCATGTATCTGAACCCCTTTGAATGGGCTTCCTTGGCTGTGTGTATGTGTGTGTGTGTGTGTGTGTGTGTGTGTGTGTAAGAGTTAGAAAAAACAATCAAAGTAGCAAACACAGCCACAACTGCTAATATAGCCCAAACCAACACAAACAGAAACCACACCAAGAGGGTAGGTTCTACCATTCCTGTCCTGAACCATCCTTCATGCAAAACTGGCCATCTGATAAAATAAAAAGGGGAGATGATTTGATTGCAGGAAGCTTCCGTTTACAGTATTTACACATAGTTAAAGAAGAGATGCAAATTGCCTCCATTACCTAGAAACTGTTCCAGCAAGCGTCATGCAATCTTGTATTTACAATGTAAAATCGTCCCACCACAAATTTATACTTTATTCACTACAAAAATTCCTCCCAGATGTTTTTCCATAATTTTTCCCAAGGTGAAATTGCCTGTGCCAGATGTGAATTTATGCCAATTTACTGTCAGCCTCTTTCACATATACTTTCTCACGTTACGATGTCACTGACTTGGAAAGAAGCAAGTTTGCTCCATAAGAACTGGTGTCCAAACATGAGTTTGACCAGACCTTTCTGTCTGTCCATCTTCCAGCTGAGTCCTTGGCTTATCTCACTTTCATGACCATAGGACAGTAAATATTCTGTAACCTCTTTACTCTTAAGCTGCCGGCTTTTTCCCAATGTGTTGCTGACCACATACATGCTCCTTGATCTTCCAACTTAAAACATATTATTTCTCTTAGACAAACTCCATTGCCTTCCTTCGTCCAAAGAGATAAAATTCCCTTATAGTCATTATCAACTAACATTCTCTATCTCACTATAGTTCTTATCTCCTAATTTAACATGTCAAACTTCTTTAAGTTGTGCTCTCTCCTGGCCAGTACTACTCATTACTGTGAAAACTGGAGGGAGGAGAGAAGCCTTTACCTTCTAACCCTGCACTTCCTGCTTTCATTTCTTGTGCTGGCTCTCATGTGTTTTCAGATCAAATTAACTCCTCACCACACACACATACCACAATTTTTCGTTGTTGGCAGTTTCTGATCACCTGGGTCTCTCTGCTCTTTTTTGTTTTTGTTTTTTAGACAGAGTCTCATTCTGTTGCCCAAGTTGGAGTACAGTGACATGATCATGGCTCACTGAAGTTTCTACTTCCTGGGCTCAGGCAATCCTCTCATCTCAGACTCCCCAGTAGCTGAGACTACAGGCAAGCACCACCACACCTGGTTAATTTTTTTTTTGGTAGGGACTAGAGATGATGTCTCACTATGTTGCCCAGGCTGGTTTCGAACTCCTGGGCTCAAGTGATTCTCCCACCTCAGCTTCCCAAAGTGCTGGGGTTACAGACATGATCTACCACACCTGTTTGCCATTTTTGGGTTTTTTTTTTTTTTGAGTTGGAGTCTCACTCCATCACCCATGCTGGAGTGCAGTGGCATGTTCACAGCCAGCCCAGAGTTGACCTGCTGGGCTCAGGCGATCCTTCGGCCTCAGCCTTCCAAGGAGCTGGAACTACAGGCATGCGCTACCACACCCAACTGTTTTCTTATTTATTGTAGAGACGAGATCTCACCAAGTTGCCTGGTCTGGTCTCGAACCTGGGGGCTCAGGCAATCCTCTTGCCTCAGCCTCCCAAAATGCTGGGATTGTAAGCTTGAGACACCGAATCTGAACCTGGTCTGCCATTCTTAATTCACCACTCCATGTACCAAGGTTCTGAACTTGAGAAACGAATAATTTATGTCTCTAAAATTGGATTCATTGGGTAGTTAAGAAACTCTACAAACAATAGATTTTAGCTTTTCATCACCAATCTTATTGGAGGTTTACTCTTCAATTCCAATCTATTAGCATGTAATCCCAAACCTGGCCCTTAATATCATCTGTTATTCCCTTTTATTTACATGATCCTGGCCTTCCCCTAGATGCCCAAACCAGAAAGAGGAGAAAGATTTTGAAACAAGTAATAACAAGAAATCAAGGCTTTCAGAAGCCTCAAAGAATTAGAACATCCCATCTAAAAAAATACTTACAGCCAAACTGGTCTGGGCCATGGGACAATCATTATCATCATATGCAGAAAAATAAGAATGATAATTCACAGTGGGTGTAGTCTCTCTGTCCAACTTGCACTGCAATGAGGCAGGACCCAAAGCAGCCAGGCAAACACACAGGAGAATGAAACCCACTAGAGCAGAGAGCGCACTCAGAATGCTTCCGGTCAGGCTGCTGTAGACCTAAAAGAGAAATATTCAGTAAGGACCACTCCTAGAGAGCAACAAATGTCTTTTATACCTCTTTGCCATTACATTACGGTTAGTCCCTTATCTGTCTCCCTCAGTAGGTCTGGGGTTGATTGGGTATTTCTGTATGCCTCCCAGCAGCCAGATAAAGTCTTAGAACCTTCAAGGTAAATCTTGGCTGAGCAAATGAATACATAATGTGTTTCCCCCTCAGCAGGACCTTAGTGATGTGGCAGGGAATGTGACTCTCCTAAATTCTTTATCCGGACTGACAGCAGGGCCTCCGTGAGTCTGTGCCTGCAAGACCACCGAGAGAGTGTGACCAAAAGCAAACACGGCAGAGTTCCAGATGTAGATTCTCTCTCCCCCAACTCACTCGAAAGCCCCTCGTGGGAGCATCAAGCACACAGAAAAGGTAGGCGAAGAGGTGCACTCTTCCTTGCATACTCCCTGTCTCAAAAGCATGTCCCTCAAAGATGAGTGAGGGGACGGTTCTTGGCCACAGGTGGGCCCTGCAATCTGGACGGGCACATGACTGGCCAGTCAGGGTCACACATGGAGGGCTGTGGGCAAAAGTCTGTCTGCAGGCCCAAGGATGCGGGAGGCAAGAAAAAAAGGTCTATGCTAGATGTCACGAAACTGCGGTCACAGCGCTAGAAGTGCCTTGGCTTTCTCAGGTTTTGGGGGGTACTCAATGAGAAAGGAGCCAGCCAGAGAAATGCTAGGCATGCAGACAGGGCCGGTCTTCCGGCAACAAGGCAGCGAACTCCCGGCTGGCCTCTCACATGGGAAAACAGCGCTCAAACTAGAGTTTAAGTACTCACTGCTGGGATTGAAAAATAACCAACCAGCTTGCTGCCAAGTACCAACCAATCAGCTCACAGCTAATGCTAGCCAATCGGTTCCGTTTTGGGGCTATATAAGTACTAAGTTTCAGCTCCAAATCGGTAACTTCTTTGTCCTTTTTCACCGCGGGAGGGATTTTGTCCTCTTAATAAATTATGCCTTCTCCCTTTCTGGCTCTGCTCCTGATTTTCTTAGGAGGAGACATAGATCCCCGATCTGAAGAGCTGCAGAAAATTGTCAGTGTCAAAGAGCTTGTACCCCAGAGGCTGGCTTGCCAACCAGTGGAGCCGGCTGAACCAGGAGAGCTGCTAAAAGAAGGCAAGATTCTGAAGTTGAAATACTCCAGGAGCTGCTAGGCTTGCCAGTTTTCTGAGCCAGCCACACTTTCAGGGCGTGGCTTCCCAGTTCATTAGAATCGACATTCCCGGGGCTAAGTTTACTAGCTCCTCAAGATGATCCTCTCTGGGGTGAGAAGACCCCTCTCTGGGGTTTGGCTGGTCAACCCAGTGAGTTGACACTCTCAAAACCCAGACTGACCTGAACATTTTGCATCATCTGTTTTATTTCCCACTCTTGTTCTTGTTTCTGCATTTAAGAAGCGAGAAATAGGATAACCCTAGCTTAGGAGTGGAGCCTTTTCTTCCGCAACTCACAGAAAAGACAAGTGAGGTAAGGTCACTCTGCAAGCTGTAGTTACGGATGGATGGGCACACCCAGCAGCCACACATTGGAGTGTTACCTAAGACCCAAACAGGCCCCTCTTCTTTTAGGAACTTAGCAGTTGATGCTTTGGGGCCCCATTTCCCCCAATAATGACTAAAGTGTATACTCCTTGCCTTCCTGAGAATCAGTATCGGTCATAGTGCCCAGAGCATGTATTTCTTAGAACAAGTTAGGTTTTCCTTGAGATGAAATTATTGTTCAGTCTTGAAAAAGGGTGGTACAATGTATGACAAGAGCAGAATTCACTAAAGGCTAGATTTCTCTGGTGAGCCTGAGACCACATTCTGTATCCATTAGCTTCCTGCATGTTCATTTTTGACTTGTTCTCGAAGGTAAGAGCCCCACATGTCTCCCCTTACAACTTGGGACGTATTACTCTTGTACTGTGCTATTCCATATGGTTGTTACTAGCCAAGTGGGGTACTTTTTAAAGTAATAAGTAAAATCAAAAATTGCAACACACTTGCAGTTATCAGAGTCACGTGTGACTGCCATATTGTACAAGCATGAATATTGTACAATGCATGATGAAGTGCATTCTCATCATCCCAGAAAGTTCTATTGAGCAGCACAGATCTAGCAGCCTTGGAGTCCCAATCACAATTTATAAATTCTGATGAGGGAAAGAAAAATACTGGTATTGTCCTGAGAACTCTCTCACAAATACTTCCTTGCTGTCTTTGAGAGATGCTTGTTTCCACAGCGTTCAAATTGAATTTCCACATTACTGCATCATATAAATTTTCTCACATGATCTCCAACATTAACCCCTTAAAGAATATAGGGTTTAGTGAAGACTTAGTGAAACTTTATAGACTAAAAGAATCTGCCTCCATAGTCTGTACTGCCTTTATCCCTTATTCCATGGAAAACCAGAATTTTGACTGGGTTTTCACGAGGGTTTAAACTGAACCCCAACAAATAGACTCTTTTTAACACTGAAAGCTTCCTTTTCATTGAGGACCTAAATGTGAAGGCCATTTATCACCCAAAGGGCATCATAAGTAATTTTTTCTGTAATGGACTCCCGGGCACTGGAATACAGAATAATATAAAAAAAGTTGAATGCAGACTTTGATTTAGGCTGCGACAATTTGAGAAATGTTATCTGGACATGGATGCAGAGGATTCAGACCCGGCTTCTCACTCTAACACAGGGGGGTCCCCGACCCCCAGGCCGGGGCCAGTACCAGTCTGCGACTCGTCGGGAACTGGGCCACACAGCAAGAGGTGCGCGGCAGCGAGGGGAGCTCCGTTGGCTGTCAAATCAGCGCAGCCTCAGGTTATCATAAGAGCGCGAACCCTCTGGTGAGCTGCGCTTGCAGGGATCTAGGTCGCGCACTCCTTATGACAAGCCAGTGACTGACGATCCTCCCCACGCCCTCCCCCATCCGTGGAAAAACTGTCTTCCATGGAATCGGCCCCTGATGCCACAGAGTCGGGGACCACCGCTTTAGCAAAGCGTTGTTCTGGGACTTCGTTTCCAGCGTTTCGCAGTGAAGAGCCAGGCGTGAAAGGGTTCTCTTGAAGTTTCGTTTCGGTCCATCAGGTGGCGGCTTAGGGCTCCGGCACTCACCAAAGGCTTAGTCAGCCTTTTCTCCGTGATGATGGACAGGGAGGCGGCCATGATGAACTGCTCGGAAGAGAGAGGAAGCGGGTCAGTGTCTGCCTGCGGAGCAACTGCAGTGTCGCTGTCGCGCGCTTTATGGAACCCTCCCACGGGAGAAGCCCCGGGGATCCAAGGAACGACCACGCAAGATTCATTTAAGTCCGTAGTTCCAGCTACTCGGAAGGCTGAGGCGAAAGGATCGCTGCGTGCAGCCCAGCAGATCGAGGCTGCGGTGGCTGGGAGTGGCCACTGCCCTCCAGTCTGGGCGACAGGGTGAGACTCCAACTCAAAAAAAAAAATGCATACATACATACATACATAATTCTTTTTTCCTTTTACCCATATAGTGTTCAGATAGCAAGAGGAAAGGCAGATATTAAGCAGAAATCTATCCTAGTAAATGAAATGAAGACCTTAAAAGCCAGGAAGTAAGTTTTGAAGGCTTTTTTTTTTGGACAGGATCTTGCTCTGTCATCCAGGCTGAGTGTAGTAGTGTGATCATAGCTCACTGCAGCATTGAACTCTCAGGCTCAAGTACTCCTCTCCCCTCAGCCTCCCAAGTAGTTGGGACTACAGGCATATACCACCACGTCTGGCAATTGTGTGTGTGTGTGTGTGTGTGTGTGTGTGTGTGTGTGTGAAGACAGGGTCTCACTATGTTGCCCAGGCTGATCTTGAGTTCCTGACCTTGAGTAATACTCTTCCTTGCCCTCTCAAAAAGGTGAAATTATAGGCATGAGCCACCATACTCGGTTGGTCTTGATTTTTTAATGAAATAATAAAATGGTGGAGTAAGATATTCTCTAGAAAAAGATATGAAAGCAATAATATGAAAAAAAAGAATAAGGAATGATCATGTGGCTTTTGTCCTTCATTATGTTGATGTGATGTATCATATGTATTGATTTCTGTATGTTGAGCTATCCTTGCATCCCTAGCATAGATCCTACTTAATCATGGTCAGTGATTTTTTTAATGTGCTATTGAATTTGGTTGGCTAGTATTTTGTTGAAGATTTTTGCAGCTATGTTCATTAGGGATATTGGTCTGCAGTTTTCTTTTGTTGTAGTGTTTTTGTCTGGATTTGGTGTCAGTAATACTGACCTCAAAAAGAGTTTGGAAGTATTCTCTTCAACTTTTTGAAAGAGGTTGAAAATTGATGTTAGTTATTCTTTAAAAGAAAAGAAAATTGGGGGAGGATAACAAACATGGATGGACAAAGATAAAGATCTTAAGTTGTTGGCTCTCCATGCTAAGATAAAATGGTAAATGAGAACAGAAGGAAAGATAAGGCTGAATGGCAGAAAACCTTCAAGGCTGTGTTTATAAAACCAAAGAAATTGTTTTTGTTCTCTCAAGTACTCCTAATCTAATAGGCTTAGAGCAGCTAAGTGACAGAAAATTATTTGACAGTAGAAGAAATGTTACAAAACAGAAGTTGTGGTTCCTGTAATCCCAGCATTAACTAACTTGTCTATATAAATAAATATTGAGGCCAGGCATGGTGGCTCAGCCTGTAATTCCAGCACTTTGGGTGGCCAAGGCAAGAGGGTTGTCTGAGCCAGGGGGTTTAAGACCAGCCTGGGCAACTTGGCGTGACCTCATCTCTACAATAAGTCAAAAAATAAGCTGGGCATGGTAGTGTGCCCCTGTAGTTCCAGCTACTTGGAAGGGTGAGGTGGAAGGATCGCCTGAGCCCAGCAGTTTGAGGCTGCAGGGGCTGTGAGCATGCCATTGCACTCCAGCCTGGGTGACAGAGTGAGACTCCAACTCAAAAAAAAATGTTGAAACTCAAAAAAAGGATTAGATGCCTCTCTAAATTTGGATTATGCTTAGTGACTTGGTTCCAAAGAGTATAGAAAGAGGAGAGAAAGAGGTAGTAAATTTACAGAGGAGAAACCTGAAAAGCACTACTTCAGCCATATGACCAAGGTTATTTTCATCAGCGACATTATGCCAATAGCATGCACCCTAAATATGACTTTGTGAAAATAGTACTTTACCTCTGTCGTCTTCACCTAAACATTTATCAGCTTAGTCTAAATGTTAGGACAATAATAGACAAACCCAAATTAAGAAAATTTAGCAAAAATTCTGGCCAGTGCGATCCAAAACTATCAAAGTCACCAAAAAATAAATAAGTAAATAAAGGAAAATCCAAGAAAGTCTAGACCCTAAGGAGACAGAATGACTAAATGTAATGTAATGTCTCTTAATGCATCTTGGAACAGAGAAAAGACATTAAAGAAAAATTGGTGAAATCCAAATAAAGTGTTGACTTCAATTAATAAAAGAAGAAAAAATGGTCCAGATAGACAAAATGGAGGACTTCTGGATGAATCAAATAAGCAAATTTAAGAAATGCAAATGTGGTGAAAAGGGAACACTGCTACCCTGTTGGTGGGAGTGTAAACTAGTGCAACTTCTGTGGAAAACAGTGTAGCGATTCCTAAAAGCTCTAAATTTCGGCCTCCCTTATGACCCCGCAATCCCCCTACTGAGTATATACCCTGAAGAACTCAAATCACTCTATAAAAAAGATACCTGCACACGTATGTTTATCGCAGCATTGTTCACAATAGCAAGAACCTGGAACTAACCATGCTGTCCATCAAAAGAGGACTGCATTAATAAAATGTGGTACATATACACGATGGAATACTATGCAGCCATAAAAAAGAACAAAATCATGAATTTTGCAGCAACCTGGATGGAACTAGAGTCTATAATACTGAGTGATCTCTCACAGAAACAAAGATCTGAGTATCACATGTTCTCACTCATATAGTGGACCTTGAACATCTATCATAATACTATAAGAAAAGGATTGACAGTGGTGGGATTAACGGTAGTCAATATCTGCCTGGGGACAGGGAGACACCCCTTATCAACAAGGGTGCCTGAACGATGCATATTTGTATACATAACCTTTAACTGTACCTCACAATTTTAAAATAGAAATACGTTTAAAAAAAGAAATGCAAATAATAGCAATTATGCTGGAGGAAGCTGATGAAGAAATTTTTTTAAAAGTATGAGAGAGAAGCTTAATTATGAGAAAGATTCACTCATATCAACCTATAAAAAAAGCTATTCTCTGAGAAAAGACTACTAAATCCTCTTGACACCCCAAGCATGGAGCTGCTTGAGAGGAATTTCCAGTCCATCAATGAAGCACAGGCATCTGTTCAGGCTACCATGGAAACCACTAAAGGCAGCAAAAAAAGCATGTTCAGAGTGCTCAGAGATGAAAGTGCTCCTTTCTCCAAGACTTCCACAAACATCTGTGTTTTTCTTCTGTGTATCATATCTCCCATTGGTGCTCTTTGAACTGTACAAAAAGGTCATTCCCAGCTTAGTCATGGATTTTCTCCTAAACCTGGAGAGAATTCACTAGCCTCATCATAGCTCAAGAAATGCTTTTTTGAGTCAGATAAAGAAATCAAGCAATGCCTGCCATTCTACCTCAATGCTTTCTTGAGTCAGATAAAAAAAATCAAGCAATGCCTGCCATTCTACCTCACTCAGTCCTTCCCTGATCTGTGCACATAGGAGAATAAGTTACACCAGTAACCCCTTGCTCCTGGCAGACAGGAACATAGTAAGGTGGCAAGTGAAGAATCTAAGCTATGGGCATCTTCCCGCCCTCTCCACCCCATCCCGCCCTTCTCAGGAACTCTACTCACGCACAAGGGTCCTATGAATGGGTAGCCAGACTTCAACAGGGTAGAAAACACTGGGGTAAAATGTGGACCGACGAGAGCAGATGCCAAAACAATCCCCAAGCTCAACACCATCACGCCACATAAGATCTGGATAGTCTGTTGGAAGAGGAAGAGAGATGAGGATTAAAAGCAACATTTGTAAAGATAGACCTTTTCTCCTCTCTCATGGCCCTAATGCATGACCACCTTCTACAGTATCCCAGGGAGTTTATAGACCCTGTGAAAACTCTGGAGGGAGAGACACGAAAAGACATTTTGGAGAGGGCATTGCTCTGCTACAGAAAGCCACAGTCTCAGGCCTCCCAAAGTGCTGGGATTACAGGCTAGAGCCACCGCACCCAGCCTTCTTTTTCTACCTTATGAGAATAAGGGACATCAGAAGGTTCTACACTCTCTTGAGCATAACCAGTGTAGGAGTCCCTCCTCACAACCCCCAGACACAACAATATGGAGCCTGGCCCTCGGGTTAGTTCCTTGGAAACATCAGTCTACAGCCTTATAGCTGAGGATATTGAAGTCTTATTTAAGAAGTAAAGTTTTCCTCCCAGATGTCGACATCAGAGTCACAGATCTGTTAACATTTACCAAGCAGCTTTCTAGACTTTATGTCACATGAGCCTCACTGAATACGAGATTGTATATTTGATCTTATTATATTTGAGGCAAGTAAATCAGTGCCACCAGTTTTTGAAACTTAGTCAACCAGAGTGCCTCATCTTAGACCATATAAGTCCAGAGACAATTCTAGAAACCAAACTCTGTTTTCCTCCCAATCCAAGAAAGATCTCTTCTTCCCCTTCTCTCTGTATGCAATAGAGTTTATTTAATAAGTTCTGGAGGAGAGGACAGAGAGACAAACAAAAGGCAAATATTATCTCTGTTCTCAAAAGGGAAGGAGAAAATAGAGGAAGGAAGTGTGTTTTTCCTGTAATTTGCACTGAGCAAAAAAATACTTTCAAAAATCAGTATGAATTATTAAGCATGCAATTGATGAAATGCAGAAAATGCATATAAAATATGTAATTATTTACCACCATGACTTTTATGAAAGAAAACTTAGGAAGTATAGTATTGCCAAAATGTAAAAAAAAATTAAAAAGTGCTTGTATGCAGGATTATGGGGAAAAAAACTCAATCACAAAACTCAATTGCTTGTATGCAGGATTATGGGTAAAAAAATTTTAAGGTCACCTCTTGTAGAAAAGTTCTGGGAAGATTTAAACAGCTCCCCAAGTGACATCTACCGGTCTTTGGGTAAGCCTGTAGGTCCTCAGACAAAGCTTAAGTGCTTCCACACTCACAATGGACATCCTGTCCCAAGACACACACAATGTTTTCCTCTTCTCCCCCCCACCACCCAACACCCTCTAATATGTTCTGAATTGGATTTACCCCAATTGCTTTGACTTCTGCCTTTAGATGTTTCTTCAGGCTATCCTGCCTCTGAGTGATGGGCTTTGGCTTCTCTGTTTGGGAGGAATTGATGCTATTTGATGAGAGCACTATGACAGTCTCATTGATCATGAATTGTGACATTGTGATGGTGCTTGCCAACTCTGGAAGATAAAAATACATTTAGCTCTTAATAGTACAGAGATCCCAGATTCTAGCTCCCCAAACTAGTTAATCTTTGCCCTAGTCTGGACTTGGCTTGTCCTTTGCCGGGGGAGTGGGAAGAACCGGAGCAGTGAAAAAGCACACAACCTCGTCATCACAAAAGTTTTCTTGTAATGTTTGACACAGTCCATCAATTATAGATAATAAACACATCATAGATGTGATGTGGTGTGAATCTTGAGATGTCCCAATGTTCAGAGGCAAGTGGTCATACAACATTTGCAAACTACAGAAATCTCCCTTTCCCTGTGTCCTACCTGCCACAACTCTATTACCAGATATTTGATGAATTTCACCTCCAAACTACCCCACCAGTCATGAGATAAGATTAGGAATCTATTCTGCAACCTTTTCCTCTTCAGGTTCTTTACCATTAGATTATCCAACTCAGCTAGTGTTGTTTTTTTTTTTGTCTAATACGACTATTTATCAGAATTAATCCTAGATATTTCATCATATTTTACTAGATATTATCCTGCGGTGTTTTTAATCCTCACAATAACCCGACATGTTAGCTAGTTGGCAAAATATGTTATATATAAGGAAATTCAAAATAAAAAGGTTAAGATATGGATGTAAGTAATACGCATTTTGCATATGTACGTGGCATAGAGTGGACACTGCAGAAATATTTGCAGTGATCATTATTGTTCAGCTATATTCACACAGCTGGGAAGGAGGAGAGAACCAGTCTTGGACCCCAGCTATCCCTGAGTCTAAAGCCTTTACACAGTTCTCTAGATCATTCTACCTCTTTCTACTTTCCCACCTGATAATGGCAGTCTCTCTCTGAGTTTATTCAGCATGGAGGAGTGGCTGCATGCAACAGTATGAGAACACCATACTTAGACCCTCTCCTCATTAGCGTAAGGACAAAGTTGGCTTTGGTATTGGCTGCTGAGCTCAGCTTAGATTTCTTTTCACTACACCATTCCTGGCCCACAGACTGCCCGGTTCACAAATGGCTTAAGAATGTTTATAGAGACAAGACCTCTGCTCTCATTGACATTAGGCAAGTGACTCACAGAGATCACACAATTAGAAAACAGCAGAAACAGAGTTAACACCAGACGCTTCTTCCCTTTGGCCATTCTATTTCCAAAATGCTCTAGTGTGTCTTAACTGGTCCCAGGGAGTTTCAGGTCAAATCACCCTCGAATGGGATTACAGTAAGAGAGTGATGACCTGAGAAAAATCTTTCGGCATTGCCTACCTCCGCTGATGGCCCAGCCCGTTGGTTCCAGTTGAGTTCTCAGAATCTACCAGGAGATCTAACTCTGGATTGTCAACAGTCCTAGCAACAGTTCCTACTCGTCTTCATCTTCTGAAAGTCGTCAGTCTTCTTTTATTCCAGTGTGTACGGCTACACAGGATATGATACTTACAGATTGTAGATTTGTGAAATGCGCCTTCACTTCCTTTTTTGTAAACGCTTAGCAACTTCAGAAAAAATCACAAAAAGAAACCAGTGGATGATTGGGAGAGTATGGGAGTCATGGAGATTTATGTGTGAGTTGCCACTCCAAGTCTTACCAGTTCCCTGTTGTTAAGGTAGTCTGTGTTCTTAGAGCCTCATTTTTCTAATCTGTTAAATAGAGTTAAGAATACTAACATTAGAGAACTGTCTTAAGGATGAGAGAAAAATGTTTATAAAAAGCCTATACATTTATTGAAACAAAACAAAACAAAAGCCTATACTGCTTTCAAGAAACTTTTGGTATGTTACCAATAATAATAATAGTGCTAATAGTAGTAATATTGATAAATAATGATATTCCTTAGTATATAACTAACCATAATAATAACATTAATGACTATACTTCTTTCAATGAGCATTGATAATATATAGCTAATAATAGTAATATTAAACATGGAAACAAACTTTTTTTTATATGTATTATTTTTTCATTTCCAGCTCTTGACAGCCTTTCCACACTCATTACCCAACTGTAGCCAACTCTAAAGTGACCTTCCTCCTCTGTCTACTCTTTTTCTAACAGTAGATCATCACCCTCCAGAAAGGTGGGGCACCTCCAGAGAAGTAGTGAAACTGGAGGGGGCACAGAATGGGGAAGATTCAGCAGGACCTAAGAAAGGTCAACAAACTCATATGTGGGATGGTTTGGGGAAGACAGAGCCCCTGTGCCCCTTCACACCGTTATAGGTGTTCTTTGAAATCTGACATTAATATATCAGGCAAGGAGGCTAGAGCCAGCCACAGTGACTGCACAGCCCCACTTCCTTCCTTCCTTGAGGGTCTTCCAGGACACACCTAGAAACACAGCCTCAACCATCATTGTCTTTCCTTGAGGGTCTTCCAGGACACACCAGAAACACAGCCTCAACCATTCCTTCTTTCCTTGAGGTTCTTCCAGGACACACACAGAAATTCAGCCTCAACCATCATTGTCACCTCAGATGCCACGGGTTCTTCTCTTAGTTTCACACATTGACTCTTCTCTTGAAGAAAGGAATTAAGAAACATTATTTGGGAGGCCGGTTTAGTGCTCAGGGCCAGAATGACACAGACATTACTAAATATAACCCCTTGGTCTTACACATTCTAGAGCTGAGTCTGAGAGAAGAAAAGGACTCCTCCAGAAAGCTGGGGGAAAGAGGCAGAATAAGTATCAACCCTTGCTTTCTTGAGCCCCTCCTGCTCCTTCCCCTTTTCCAGACGCCATGCTGTTTCCCACGGGTGCCCTACACTTTATCACAGCATCCATGCAGATCACGGAATTCAGCTCCTCTCCTGAGCTGTGACAAAGGAGGAGGAGTCTGACCAATTAAGAAACAGTCGTACTCATTTCCCTTCATGGGAATGTGCTAATAAACCAGTTAAATCTGCCTACCCAGGCAAAGTGACCTCTGAAAAGTTTCAATGATAACAAGAGAGAAGACACTTAAGGTGCTTAGCACAGAAACCTACAGAGCAGTGATCTAAAAGTGGTCTATTTACTGTCTTTCCCTAATACCTTCCCCAACAACTCTCTCAGTAACAATCTTCCCCCACATATTTTTTTTCTTTTCAGGTAATCTCTGAACAAGACTCCTCTCTTTAGTCTTTCAGCTTAGACTTATCCCACCTTTACAAATTCTGGTTCTTCCAGAGTCCAGACTCCACCAACCTAACTAGGAGGGAGAAAACTGACAGAACAATACTGGTTGCTAAATGCCAATAGAACATGCTGATTAACCAGGTGTAACAACCAGAAACATCGTCAGATATTGTCAAATGTTCCTTGATAGAAGGAAAACAAAATTCCCTCATTTCCATGTTGAGAACCTCTGATCTAGGAGCAAAAGAGTTTTTTGGTGACTTCTGTATAAAGGTAGGTATGCCAGAAACAGAACATTGTTTCCTTTCAATCAAATTAATTTCCTTAGATTTTTTTTAATACCATAAAATTAGTAGAGGCAAGGTCTCGTTATGTTGCCCAGGCTGATCTCAAACTCCTGGGTGTGAGTGATCCTCCCTCCTTCACCTTCCAAAGTGCTGACTGAGATCACAGGTGTGAGCTACTGCACCCGGCCAATCAAATTAATTTCTTGATTTTTAATTTTTTGATTGTAGTAAAACACAGGTAATTCAACATGTGAACCATACTTTGGTGGGCAGTTCAATAGTATTAGTTATCCTCACATTTTTGTGTAGATCTCTAGAACATTTTCATCTTGCATAACTGAAACTCTGTACCCTGTGATAATTCGCCATTTCCCCCATGTCCTGCCTGTAGCTCCTGTCAACCACCCACCTACTTTTTGTCCCATGTCAGTTCCAGGACAACTTTAGATAACTTATAGGCATGGAATCATAAATGATTTTTCTTTTTGTGACTGGCTTACGTCGCTTAGCGTGAGGTTCTCGAGTTTCATCCATGTGATAGAATTTTCTTCTTTTATCAGACACACTCATGTTCCATTGTATATGTAGACCACATTTCTTCATCTGTTCATTCATCCACAGACATTTGTTTGCTTTCACCTCTTGGTTTTGTGAATAATGCCACAACAAATATAGGTGTACAAATATCCTTTCAAGATTATGTAATTCATAGATCTCCAGGATTAGTTTCTGGAGATTCATTTTGTTCCTTTGGTTGGGCCATGTTTTCCTGTTTCTTGGTATGCCTTGTGCTCTTTTGCTGAGATTTGGATATTTGAAAAAACACCAACCTCCCCCAATCATTACAGACTTGCTTCATACACAGGAAGACATTTACTGATTGGTATAACTGGAGATTCCTGAGTGCCGCTCAAACCTTTTACTAGGGATGCGTATTCTCTGGAATGGTGTAATTTCTCAGTTAAAGAAGTTTGCCTGTTCTACAGTCTCTCTAGTGATACCTGCTTTGTTCTCAGAGGTCTCCCCCGAAATGGCCTCCAAACTCTGTAGGTTTCTGTCTGCACTCTGAGTCAGGCAAGATAAAAAGCAGTCTGTTGGGCAACCCTCCCATTCCCCAAATCCAGAATGCTGTACCTGTGGTCCTTTTCTCGTGCCCTCCTGAGGGAGACAGGATGTGGGTGTTTTCTTCAGATCAGGGTATACTGTACTAGAGTAAGAGAATGGCCAGAGTAAATAAAATGTCCATTTTTTTCTACTTATTTTGATGTATCTCTTCCTGATTGTGTATTCATCTAGGGTGCTACAACCTTTTAGCTAGTTTCTGGGGTTCTCACAAAGGCAGTTTTGTTCATATATCATTGTTAAGTCAGTCTCTCCATGGAGGAATGAGGATCTGGGGCTTCCTATTCCACCATCTTGTTGGTGGTACTCAAGTCAATTCTTATTATTAGATCCTGTTTTGTTGAGAGGTCATCTAGCCATCCCATCTACCTGTGGCAGAGCCTAAAAACAGGTATTTACATGTGACAATCATGGAATTGGAAGGTAGTTTTCAGAATCCTTTAACTCTACATACAACTATCTGTGCACATTCTCCATAAAATATTACTTGATCCTGTAGGTATGTAGGCTGGTCTCTTTCTCTCCGTTATTTCTAGTTCCAAGGGTCTCTACATACAGAGTAAGAAGGCCTGTACTCTTTGAACCCATAACAACCACCTGGGCTTTTGTTTCCTAGCTAAGTTCTATTTCCTAAGGACCCATCTGTATCTCAGCTTTTATTACCTGCACTCCAACCTCTCTCCTTCAGAATCGGGGGGATTTTATTTTTCTATTTCTTTTTTTTTTTGGAATTGGAGTCTCACTCTGTCGCCCAGACTGGAGTGCAGTGGCCACTGCTGGCCACCGTAGCCTCGACCTGCTGGGCTCCAGCGATCCTTCTGCCTCAGCCTTCCAAGTAGCTGGAACTACAGGTGCGCGCTACCACACCCGGCTAATTTTTTGATTTATTGTAGAGATGAGGTCTCACCAAGTTGCCCAAGCGGGTCTCGAACCCATGGGCTCAGGCAATCCACTCACCTCACCCTCCCAAGGCACGGGATTACAGGTTGAGCCACCGAGCCCGGCTTTTTCTATTTCATATGGACATCTGTCCTTCTCTTATAGTTCATTCCATGGCCCCTCTCATACTCCATGCACTAGGAACTTTTCTCTCTTGATATATCTTTCTGAAGCACTTATAATAAACTCTTCAGTGGATGCTATTCGTTGGAGTTTGAAAAAGCAAAAGCTAGAAGCTAGTAAGCAACACTTTCTTTTCCTGCCTGCATTTATATATTCCCTCTACTTCCTTCCACTTTTTCTCATAGCATAGAGAAGAAAATATATATATTATCTTGTGAGGATTTGAGTCTTTCTTATGATCTCCTGTGGCTAAATTATTATTGGGCAACAGGAATTCTGCAACTGAAATTACATTCTGCCAACTTCTCCAGCATTCAAAGTTTCAGGGAAGGTAGGGGTAGAGTTGAGCTTAAGCCTGTTTCGTAAGAGTAATGGTTCTTCGTTTCTGTGAAAGACCACTCAGTATTATAGACTCTACAGGGAAGAGGGACACACCTCATCAACAAGGGTACCTGCACAATGAATATTTGTAATACCTAACCCTGAATTGTACTGCACAATTTTAAAATTAAAAACTTAAAAATTAAAAAAAAAACAAATAAATGTGCTAAAAATAAAAATAAAGAGTAATGGTGATTTCTCATGCCTGTGTGAGAAGCCCCTTTCCTTCAGGGAGAAAAAGAGGGAAGGGTGAAAGAAAGGAGAAAAAATTGTTCTCAGATAAAGAGTGAAGCAACATTAAGGGTGCAGGCTCTTTGTGAATAGAGAAATCAACAGCTAAAAATAGTCTTCTGGCTCTGATTGACCTCTGGACATATGGATATTTCTAATAAGTTAAATTGCTATTGGTTGCCTCAAAATAATAGCCTCGAATCAATTGCTTTCTATTTGTGTCTTACATAAGCTACTTGGTACTTTTGTTTAGTGGTCTATATCCGAAAATGTCTTTAAATATCTCCATTCTAATCAT